TAAATAGCGCTATCTACTGCGAGGATCGTGCATCATACGTATCTAATACCGCAGTTCAAAATATATGAACTTCATATATTCATTGTATCTGATTTATCATCACGGGTTTATTACGAATCAACTTAACGGCCTGCTCCCAGTTGGCTTGTTAGCTCAATTGGTAGAGCGCTGCACTAGTATCGCAGAGGTCAGTGGTTCGAATCCCGTACAGGCCTGATTTTTTTCAGGTCTGATTTTCGCTATTGCATAAATAGCGCTCTCTACTGCGAGGATCGTGCATCATACGTATCTAATACCGCAGTTCAAAATATATGAACTTCATATATTCATTGTATCTGATTTATCATCACGGGTTTATTACGAATCAACTTAACGGCCTGCTCCCAGTTGGCTTGTTAGCTCAATTGGTAGAGCGCTGCACTAGTATCGCAGAGGTCAGTGGTTCGAATCCCGTACAGGCCTGATTTTTTTCAGGTCTGATTTTCGCTATTGCATAAATAGCGCTCTCTACTGCGAGGATCGTGCATCATACGTATCTAATACCGCAGTTCAAAATATATGAACTTCATATATTCATTGTATCTGATTTATCATCACGGGTTTATTACGAATCAACTTAACGGCCTGCTCCCAGTTGGCTTGTTAGCTCAATTGGTAGAGCGCTGCACTAGTATCGCAGAGGTCAGTGGTTCGAATCCCGTACAGGCCTGATTTTTTTCAGGTCTGATTTTCGCTATTGCATAAATAGCGCTCTCTACTGCGAGGATCGTGCATCATACGTATCTAATACCGCAGTTCAAAATATATGAACTTCATATATTCATTGTATCTGATTTATCATCACGGGTTTATTACGAATCAACTTAACGGCCTGCTCCCAGTTGGCTTGTTAGCTCAATTGGTAGAGCGCTGCACTAGTATCGCAGAGGTCAGTGGTTCGAATCCCGTACAGGCCTGATTTTTTTCAGGTCTGATTTTCGCTATTGCATAAATAGCGCTCTCTACTGCGAGGATCGTGCATCATACGTATCTAATACCGCAGTTCAAAATATATGAACTTCATATATTCATTGTATCTGATTTATCATCACGGGTTTATTACGAATCAACTTAACAGCCTGCTCCCAGTTGGCTTGTTAGCTCAATTGGTAGAGCGCTGCACTAGTATCGCAGAGGTCAGTGGTTCGAATCCCGTACAGGCCTGATTTTTTTCAGGTCTGATTTTCGCTATTGCATAAATAGCGCTCTCTACTGCGAGGATCGTGCATCATACGTATCTAATACCGCAGTTCAAAATATAGGAACTTCATATATAAATTCCCATCTTAACAGTAAGAAACACGGTTGAGAAATCCGTTTCTACCACATTGTTGTTTTAATTGATAATTTCATGGTACCGTACCGCTTAGTCATTTCCGCTAAGTGGAGAGATATTACTGGTTACGCGTTCTCCTCCCCTTTCCACGGACATCAGTGAGATGCGCCAAAAAAACAAATTTGTTTTTTCCTTGAGCTAGACAGTGGGTGGTACTTGGCGCTAACAGCCCACTGAGTTGCCGTGTTTTGGCTCTTGTTTTTTTCGTCTTTTCTTTTTACTCCGCCCTTTTTTTTAATCCTTTTTGTATTCACGCGCGAGAGAAGGTGACACGTGCTAACACATTTCTAGCCCACGTGGGATGTCAGCTGAGGTAATGTAACTGTGAATGAAATTTGTTTTGAACAAAATGACCACCTTTGAAGTTATCCTGCTATCTTGTCTAGTAATTTAGAGGAATTTATCGTGACCTCACGAAGAGACAAAGTACCTCTCAGTCGTATGTTGTTTTTGTATTTCTGATCAGGCGGCCCTTTCAAGTGGCATCCTCATGCAATCCTCTACCTACCCCGCTTCGTAGCGTCCCAAAACAGTAAAGGAGATAAATCTCGCACAATTGTTATTCTGGACACAGATGGGGTGATCACTGCTCAATCAGGAAATAACACATCTGCATGGGGCGTAACTTCGGAGACAAATGATTTTCTTTAAAATTGCCGACAGATCTGCCAGATGCAGTTCCTGGGGCGGGTCCAGGATTTAGTTAGTCTAGGGGAGTTCGGAAGGGAGTTCGGAGAATTGTTCCCCTTCTGAGGGGTCTAATATTTTGAAAATTAGGTCTTCGGAAACATGATTTCCAGCGTTCTGAGGGAAAATTTAGGGAGTTCGACCGAACCACCCCTGGACCGCCCCAGAGTTCGTTGCTTGGTGTTAAAAGATCACGGTAATTTTTTCCCTGCAAAGCTTGCCAAGAGACATTGATTCAACCTTGGATTGTTTGATTTAGTAATTGCAAAAGCTAAATCTCTCGAAAGTATTCGCACAACTTCGACCAGGATCGGTAAATTTCCGAAGCGCTTCGACATCGTTAGAAAACGAGTGGGAGAAGAGGAGGAAAGCAACAAATAATTACCCGAAGAGCGCCCAAAAGACATAAATAGTGTTTATCAATGGGTTGGTGGGTGGGGGGGAAAAAGGAAATCGGAAGGATAGGTGGGAAAGAGGAAGCTTTATTGCGACTGACTAACACGTATGCATTCTCTGATGGAAGCTTCAAAGGTAACTTAGTGTAATTACTACAAGTTCGAGCAATTTATAAAAATTGCACAATTTTTGTGCCGTATTTGCAGCCATAAATTACGTTAAAAGAGTGAATTTGCACTAGCTTTATAACTTAAGTTGTAGTTCGCGTAATATGTACAAATAAAGACATTTTAAGAATCCATTTGTAAAAAATATACAAAATGAGAAATAAAATACCTATTCAAAATGAAATTCCACTAACTATTAAACTCTTTCTGGTTCGTGTTTCACCATAGCCAATATGTTAAAAATAAAAGCTAAAAAAAAAAAAACAGCGTAAGAATTTACAGAGATACGATACCATTAGATATAAGGGACTAATCATTAATTATTACCGAGGGAGGGGAGGGGTTAGGGGGAGTTCGGAGGATCTTAGGGATCACATGGTTTTCAGGGAGAACGGAGGGGGATCAGTAATCGCCATCAGATTATAAAGGGGGGAAACTACAGACAACTGACTGCCAATTGACTGCCAATGAGGTAGAGGGGAGAATTATTTCTTATCTCCGGGGTGGGCAGAAGATTTTGGGGGGGACCACATGGTTTTCAGGAAGAACGGAGGGGCATCAGTTATCGTCAACAGAGTATAAAGGGGGGATACAGACAATTGACTGCCGATGAGGGAGGGGGAATCATTACTTATCTACGAGGTGGGCGGAGCAATTTTGGGGATCGCATGGTTTTCAGGGAGAACGGAGGGGTATCAGTTGTCGCTAACAGAGTATAAAGGAGGGGGGGGACTATAGACAATAAACTTCCAATTAACTGTCACTGAGGGGGATCATAGGGATTATAACAGAGCCTTATGGGGGAATCAGGTAAATTTTATCATGACACAACCAAAATCCTCCGAAATCCCCCCTCCCCTAGGCGATAAACAAAGACTTATAACTTATAACAACTAACTTATAACAACCTCGTTCCCAGGGCCTTTTCCCTTTTCCCCATCCCAATTACGGAATAAGGCCCTGGGAACGAGGTTGGACTTGTAATTGATGATAAAAACGATTAATTTAAACTGAATTCAAATAACCTAAATTGATAAGGCGCCAAGAAAGATCCCTTAACAAAGAGCGATTTCGTTTTTCCATACCATAAAGAAAAACGTTCCCCAATTTTTCGTGTTTACCATTTGCAACCGGGTTAAATGCCTCCTTTCTCAGTTGAACTAAATTTGTACCATTCGGTGTAATAATAATAAAACATACCTACTCTATATTTAAGCTTTTAAATAACAAGATACTCCACCAAAATTCTATGCCATTGAAACAAATTCTGAAATAATGTAGTTTTTCGACTTGTCACGCAATGCTTGGCGTTGCGTGACACCAGTCTCTGCTAGGTGAACAGCTTATGATGTGTTCTTGGCAGGTTGCCAGGATTTTTCATCCACTAAGCAGTGCAATCTCTGACAGTGAGATACCAAGTTGTTCCACATGTTGTGCACCGCTAACAAATGACGGTTACCTGTCAAGACACGCGCAGATCTTAAATTAACGATTAGTGAATCGCGCAGATCTTAAATCAACGATTAGTGAAAAGTTAAACAGGCGCCTCCCCTCGATTAGGCCCCTTCCCCTCCAACCACTAGTCCCCCCCTTTAAAAGAGCACCCATGTACCCACAATTGGGGGATTTCTGGTGTCCACCATCCATTGCGTAGTCCTTTATGGTCGTTACGCGAAGGGTGACACAATGAACACCTCTAAAGGACACAAAAGCCTTATGTGACATCAACTTACTGCTAGTTAGGCTGAGAAACAAGTTGCAATCTTCTTGTGAAAAGTTAGTTAAGGTCCGCTAAGCCAGGGGTATTCCACCATACAAATCATAAATTGAAAACTGTTATCCCAACCTCGTTCCCAAGCTCTCTCTTTTCCTCACTCCCCGTAGCGAGAGGAGAGAGCTTGAGAACGAGGTTGGACCATTGTTGAACTAGGGTTGACTATTCGCATCATGACAGACTAGTACTCACCAATAATTATTAGACCGTGCTTTGCACGAGTGAGAGCCACGTTCATTTGCCGCTCATCGATAAGAAAACCTAAGTGATTCGCTAACCATTGTTGATTCTCCGAGCTGCCTGTGATCTGTTCTACTGGCAGACTTCGCACTGTAGACAAAACTACAAAGTCCTTCTCAGCACCTGGAGAGAAGGAAAAACTAAACGCGTTAGGATCCAAACTAAGTCATTCAGAGCAATAAAACCCTGGGCCGGGTTGTTCAAAGCTGGGTTTGTGTGAAATCTGATTTCAGATCTGAAAACTTTAAAAAAAATTCAGTGTAATCCTTTTCGTCTAGAATTTGATTTTGGACGCTCTATAAAGAATAGAAACACTTATACAGAAAAGGCTTTCGCACAAGGGAATAAAGAAACCTGGGTTAATATTTAACCATGGGTTAGCGTTAATCGGCCTTCAAACAACTGGGCCTGAAACACCACAACTCAAGTTCGGCCCTTTTCTAGGGATCGTTTTTTCGACCAGAGATAGAGAAAGGTAAGGTAAAACCAATGATATCTGATGGATTGAGAGGAAGATGCGAGATTTCTACGCCAATCACAAAACAAATTAGAACATAGCTGGCAGAGTTGCGGAATCAAATTCATTATACGTAAGCGTGCTCAAAATCCCGATAGTGCACGCTGATAGCGTCCGCAAATCCGACTTCGCCAGAAATTTTTTTTTTCGCGCGAGCGGCCATTGTTAGCGCAGGGAAAAATAATAATATTTCGCGACAATAATGGATACAAACAGAAACTCGGCCTACTAGTCCGAAAACAAAGACAATGTTTCGACCTTTTCCCTTGGGCTAGAGTTCTTAAATGAGGCAGAAAAAGAGAAAAACAAAGCAAAAGGAGACTCGGCATCAGCACCGTCACGATTTACTTCAACTGTTATTGTTTACCGTTTTTCGCGTCGGATTTGATGCACAATTCCACCGGCTATGTTCTAAAACAATTGGTTCTTGCTTTCAGCTGTGCACTATCGAGTTATAGAGCACGTGGGAAGTTTGGAGAGCACTCAAGAAGCTAGAGTTGCCCTCGGCTATCGCCTCGGGCAACTCTTACGCTTCTTTCGTGCTCTCCAAACTTCCCGCGTGCTCCATAACTC